CTTATGGAGAGACTGGAAATGAGAAGCAGTTTTATTTGTAATTCTGCAAGTCCTGGGGGTATGTGGAGGGGTGTCTATACATGTTTTTAAGCTCATCTTTTGTCTTGCATTTTATCATAAGCAGTGAGAACCCAGGTGATACTTGCATTGCTTCAGAAATCTCTTTAGCTATTTCCTTGAATTCATCAGGGATATTCCTTATTTCCATGTTTCTGTAGGCCACAGTGTTGTCAAACTTTCAACACTTTACCATTCCTAGGTCTTCCAATAAGACTTTCCTCACTTTCCCTTAAACCTTCACTGACAATGTTGTTGAGAACCTTTAAGCTTCCATTAAAGCTCTCCTCAAGGCTCCTTCAGTTTTCACTGACATTCTCTGTGGCCCTTTATGCTTCTTTCAGCTGCCCAGGTCCAGAGCCAGTGCCATGTGTGTCAGGCTTTCGTTACTGCAGCACCCTATTTCTGGTACCAGAATCTGTCCCAATAATCTTTTGCCATGTAACAAACCGCCACAAAATTTCATGATTGAAGACAACAATGTGGGCAGGCCTGGGTAGAGACAGCTTGTCTCTGTTGCATGCAGCGTCAGCTGGGACTAGGACTGGAGGACCCACTTTTACCACATGGCTGACCAGCTGGTTCTGGCTGTCAGTTTATCTCCAACTGGACCTCCCTACAGGGTGGCTTTGCTTCCTCACACATGGTAGTTGGGATCTCAAAGCAAATGTCCCAAGAAACAGGAAGTGAAAGTTGTTCTTAGTCATACTGGTACGGTATTGTTCCCACCATAGTCTAAAGCCTTTAATAGTTTTGCCTTTTATATTTCATTATTTAATCCATGTAGAATTTTTTTAAATCATCACCAGACTAGTTATATAATTTCCTTTTTGTGCATTTTAATTGAGGTAAAGTTTCTACATTTAGTGAAACGTACAGATCCAGATCCTAAGTGTACAATTTAATGAGTTTTAAGCACCCATGTAACTACAACTCCAAGCAAGACGAAAGACATTTCTGCCACCCCCAAAGTTCCCTCATGCCTCCTTATAGTCAGTCTCCACTTCCACCTTTGTTCTGATTTTTATCACTATAGATTAGATTTCCCTATTCTTGAACTTAATATAAATGAATCACACTATATGTACTCTTTTGTATCTGTTTTTTTTTTTCCCCCCGAGACGGAGTTTCGTTCTTGTTACCCAGGCTGGAGTGCAATGGCGCGATCTCGGCTCACCGCAACCTCCACCTCCTGGGTTCAGGCAATTCTCCTGCCTCAGCCTCCTGAGTAGCTGGGATTACAGGCACACGCCACCATGCCCAGCTAATTTTTTGTATTTTTTAGTAGAGATGGGGTTTCACCATGTTGACCAGGATGGTCTCGATCTCTTGACCTCGTGATCCGCCTGCCTCGGCCTCCCAAAGTGCTGGGATTACAGGCTTGAGCCACCGCGCCCGGCCCTGTATCTGTTTTTTTTCACTCAATGTTTTGAAAAGTACCCATGTTCTTGTGCCTATCAGTAGTTCTTACTTTTTTACTGCCAAGTGATATTCCATTAAATGAATATACACTCATATATCACTTAATGATGGGGATGTGATCAGAGAAATGCATCATTAGCCAATATCCTCATTGTGTGGACATCATAGTGCATCGATCCCCAACCTTTTCGGCCCCAGGGACCAGTTTTGTGGAAGACAGGTTTTCCATGGACCAGGAGCAGAGGGGATGGTTTCAGGATGAACCTCTTCCATCTCAGATCATCAGGCATTAATTAGATTCTCTTAAGGAGCATACAAACTATATCCCTCGCATGTGCAGTTTGCAGTAGGGTTCATGCTTCTATGAGAATTTAATGCCACTACTGATCTGACAGGAGGCAGAGCTAGGTAGTAATGCTCACTTGCTTGCTGCTCTACTCCTGCTGTGCAGCCCATTTCCTAACAGGACGTGGACCCCAGTAGCCACCTTCGGCCTGGGGGTTGGGGACCCCTGTCATAGTGTACTTATTCAAATCTAGATGGTATAGTCTGTTGCTCCTGGGCTACAAACCTGCATCGTCTATTACCGTGCTATAGGCAGTTGCAGGACAGTGGTAAGTATTTGTGTATCTAAACGTGTATAAAGATAAAAAGGATACAGTAAAAATATGGTGTAAAAGATTTTTAAAACAGTACACCTATGCAGGGTACTACTTACCATGAATGGAGCTTGCAATAATGGCAGTTGCTCTGAGTGAGTGGTGAATGAGTGGTGAGTGAATGTGAAGGCCTAGGACATTACTGTACACTACTGTAGACTTTATAAACACTGTACACTTTGGCTACACTAAATTTTTTAAATGTTCTTCAGTAATAAATTAACTTTATCTTACTGTAACTTTTTTACATTAAAAACTTTTTAACTTTTTGACTCTTAATAACAGCTTAAAACACAAACATATTGTATAGCTGTACAAAAATATTTTTTTTTTTATTTTGAGACAGAGTCTCGTTCTTGCGCCCAGGCTGGAGTGCAGTGGTGCAATCTCGGCTCACTGCAACCTCCGCCTCCTGGGTTCAAGCGATTCTCCTGCCTCAGCCTCCCGAGTAGCTAAGACTACAGGCATATGCCACCACACCCAGCTAATTTTTGTATTTTTAGTAGAGATGGGATTTCACCATGTTGGCCAGGATAGTCTCGATTTCTTGACCTCGTAATCCACTCACTTTGGCCTCCCAAAGTGCTGGGATCACAGGCATGAGCCACCACACCTGGCCAATCTCTTTGTTTTTGTCTTTATCCTATGAGCTTTTTTCTATTTAAAAAACTTTTAAATCTTTTTTTTATTTTTTTATTTTTTTTTTTAAACTTTTTTGTTAAAACCCTAGACATAGCTTTAAACTTTTTTGTTAAAACCCTAGACATAGTTAAAACCCTAGACATACACATTAGCCTAGGCCTACACAAGATCAGGATCATCAGTGTCACTGTTTTCGATCTCCATATCTTGTCCCACTGGAGGGTCTTCAGGGACAATAATGTGCATGGAGCTGTCATCCTGTGATGACAATGCTTTCTCCTGGAATAACTCCTGAAGGACTTGCCTGAGGCTGTTTTACAGTTAACTTTTTTGATAAGTAGGAGTACACTCTACAATAATGATAAGTATACTAAATACACAAATCAGTAACATAGCTGTTTATTATGTTATCAAGTATTATGTACTTTACATAATCCTATATCCAATACTTTTTATATGACTGGCAGTGCAGTAGGTTTGTTTACACTAGCTTCATCACAAACACATTGTAATGCATCGTGCTTTATGACTTTATATTGGCTACAAGGTCACCAGGTGATAGGAATTTTTCAGCTCCTATGGGACCACTGTCACATATATAGTCTGCCATTAACCACAGTGTCATTATGTGGCATATGACTGCACCACAATTTGTATCTCTTCTCTTTTTGGTAGATATTTGGATTGGTTCTAGTTTGGGGTTATTATGAATAAACTATTATGACCCTTCTTATAGCTGTCTTTTTATATACATTTGTTTTTGTTTATTTTTATTTATTTATTTATTTTTGAACTCTTGATAGTTTTTGTTTATTTTTATTATGCTTATCTCTCTGGATTCCTGCATTTTTAGTTGTTTCGGTAAAAGAGTCACATTAGCAGATGTGAAAATCCTATTTCTTAAAAGACCTCAGTTAATCCTTCTTTTATCAGATCTACCTCACACTCACCTCCAGGCTCAGCTGTCTTGGGACCCTTTGGCTCTTTTCACATTTTTTTTTTTTTTTTTTAGACACAGGGTCTCACTTTTTTGTCTAGGCTAGAGTGCAGTGGCACAATTACAGATCACTGCAGCCTTGAACTCTTGAGCTCAAGTAATTCTCCCACCTCAGCTTCCCAAGTAGATGGGACCACAGGCACATGCCACCACATCTAGCAAATTTTTTGTAGCGATGTGGTCTCACTGTGTTGCCCAGGCTGGTCTCAAACTCCTGGCTTTAAGTGATCCTCCTGCCTCAGCCTCTCAAAGTGCTATGATTACAGACATGAGCCACTGCACCAACTTTTTTTTTTAATCCAATCTTTTTTTTACTTTTTACTACATTCTTTGGGCATGAATGTTGATGTAGAAGATAACAAATGGACTGTAAGGCACAAAACAGAAAGCAAGGCAAATGACCAGTGGTGCAACCATTCTAAATCCAGTGACGTACATACACACACACACATACACGTACACACACACACACACACACGCCCTTGCTAATATTTGCCCCACATCTCCTTACACATACATAGTAAGAGGTACAAAAAATATGTGAGGTAACCAAATACAAAAAAAAAAAAAAAAATGGAAGTATATACAAGTGGGGAATTGTTTAGATTTTCTTTTCTTTTTCTTTTTTTTTTTTTTTTGAGACAGAGTCTTGCTCTGTTGCCCAGGCTGGAGTGCAGTGGTACAATCTTGGCTCACTGTAACCTCCGCCTCCTGGGTTCAAGCAATTCTTCTGCCCCAGCCTCCCGAGTAACTGGGACTACAGGCATGCACCACCATACCCAGTTAATTTTTGTATTTTTAGTAGAGATGGGGTTTTACCATATTGGCCAGGCTGGTATCAAACTCCTGACCTCATGATCCATCCGCCTCAGCCTCCCAGAGTGCTGGGATTACAGGCATGAGCCACGGTACCCAGCCAAGATTTTCTTTTCAGTGCACAGGAGACAAAGTGCAAACTCCGTGCCTTCGCCTTTGGTCCGGGCCACTCTTCCAGTGGGCTGTGTTCCCACAGACTTTGGTCATGCAGTTTGGGTTGGCAGCTGCAGGGCACAGCCTTTTCTTGACCCTCCACCCTCTACCTCCCACAGCATTTCAACAGATTAGCTGCTGGGAATTCTGTTAGGAACCAGAGGCCAAGGTATAAAAGATGGAATAGGACACTGTTCTCTGACTTCTGTATCCCAGAGACTCTTGAAGCTTCTTTGGTTTTTTGTCTCCCATAGTTTGTATCTACTTGAACAAGAATGGCAGCACAGGCCCCCACTTAGATAAGAAGAAGGTCCAGCAACTCCCTGACCATTTTGGACCAGCCCGTGCCTCTGTGGTGTTGCAGCAGGCTGTCCAGGCCTGTATCGACTGTGCATATCACCAAAAAACTGTCTTCAGCTTCCTCAAGCAGGGCCATGGTGGTGAGGTTATCTCAGGTAAGCACACTTTGGTTCGTATTGCCTCCCTGCCAGAAGACCCACCTTCTCAACTGGTTGATTTCTTATAAGGGATCCTGGTTCCCACTTCATACCTGCAGGCTCTGGAAAAATGTGAAGGTGTTCCATTCCTCATCTCCAACCCCCTGAGAGCCCTTCTGAGCCTTATGCATACCTCTGCCAAGGAGAATACCCACAGATTCTACTTCACAGGGCCTCTAAACTGATTCCTCCCACCATCTACCTGCTTGACTCTCCATACAGAAAGTATAGGAATATGTTGCTTTAAAGGCATTCCAGAAGAAAGAATCCAGAGGGGGCTATGTTGTGGCAGCCTCAGGGTTTCTCCAGACTGTCGCCCTCTCTCCCACCTGGTTTCAGGAACCACTGAACTCTTCTCTCATTCCTTTGACTCCTTAGCTTCCTGGTCCTAAACCAGGCCCAACAGAAGAGAATTAAATCCCAGGGCAGGGTGGGAAAAGTCATTTTCTTTTTCTTTCCTTCTATGAGTTTGATTCAGTGGCGCAGTATTCTTTGCTCTCACAGAATACTCACTTTTTCTACTGTGCTCTGCTTGTTTCAGTTTTCCTAAATCTAAAATCCTTTTTAGCCACTAAACCTATGAAGACTTGACCTAGAGCCTTTAAGTCTTAACTGATGCTATTCCATAATCCCTTGCCCTTCCTCCCTAGCAGGTTGTAATAACCAGCTCCAGGAAACCCAGCTAGCATAGAAGACTCCATAAATGACCAGACTGTATTATTTTAGCAAACATGTATGGGACCCTTGCTTTGTGTCTGGTGGTTGCCAGACACTGGCCAGGAGAAGGGGAGAATAGAAGATGATAGCTTAGGCTCCATACCAGTGAAAAAGAAAGAATATACATAGCTAACTATGAAAAGTGCTGTAATAGGGAAGTGTATACAGACTGGTGTGGGAGCCCAGACTAGGGAGTAATTAGCTGTGAGGAGGATGGAGCAGACAGGCAGGCAAATATTATAGAAGACTGGGAACTGGCCAGGCGCGGTGGCTCATGCCTGTAATCCCAGCACTTTGGGAGGCAGAGGTGGGTGGATCACCTCAGGTCAGGAGTTCAAGACCAGCCTGGCCAACATAGCAAAACCCTGACTCTACTTAAAAAAAAAAAATACAAAAAATTAGCCGGGGTAGTGGCGCACACCTGTAGTCCTAGATACTCAGGAGGCTAAGGCAAGAGAATCGCTTGAACCTGGGAGGCAGAGGTTGCAGTGAGCCGAGATCATACCACTGCACTGCAGCCTGGATGACAGAGCAAGACTCTGTCTCAAAAAACAAAGAAGAAGCCTGGGAACTGCCTGGTAAAGAGGCCCAAGCTACTTCCTGGTCTCTTCTTTGTTTCTATGTACTGGTCTGGAGGAACCTGGCCTTCTTTACTGCCTCTCTTTAATAGCTGCTCTCATCTATACCCCCTCTAGGGTTCTTTTCCCTCAAAACTGGTTCTTGAGAATTACCTGTCTCCCCAGATCCCCATATCCTTCCTTGCTGCCCTCAGAGACAGATGCACAGGTCTTGGTGTGATCTCAGTTCACTGCAGCCTCCACCTCCCGGGTTTAAGCAGTTCTCCTGCCTCAGCCTCCAGAGTAGCTGGGACTGTATGCCACCACACCTGTCTAATTTTTCATATTTTTAATAGAAACAGGGTTTCACAGAGAATGGTGCTGATCTCCTGACCTCATGATCTGCCTGCCTCAGCCTCCCAGAATGCTAGGATTACAGGTGTGAGCTACTGTGCCCAGCCTGGCCTTTGCTTTTTAAGGATTATACTGATATATTTTTATAGAAAAAAGTGGTAGGTAGTAAACTTAACAGCAAGCATGAAACAGTTCTAAATGTTGCCAAAATTCTAATGCCCTTATATAAATCAGATATTGTGTACCCAAACCATTGCTGGCTATGACTATATTCTTTTCTTCTGCCCAGCTTCTCTGTTCTTGGGCAGTTCTTTTGAAAATAGTGCCCTAAATGAGCAGATTTCCTGGGGGAGTGACGGAGCAGATAGAATTATGTTCATAATTGTTTTCACAGGTTGAATAAAGTAATTCCAGAGCCCCGGGTGCAACAGACCTGGCCTGGCCACTCCCACATTTGCAAACCCTTTACAGTTGGAGGCAAAAATCAAAGCCCTCAAGGGAGGGAGTTAAAGGAAGGGAGGGAGGAAACTTGGGGCAGTGATTCCCTTTGTGTAACCAGGTAAGCCTGAAACAAGCAGTGGGCTGGACTCCTCCTGCCCAGCGCTGTACTCCACCACCAGGCTGACGTGCTTGGCCCTGTTTACTCACTCCACAGCCGTGTTTGACCGGGAACAGCATACCCTCAACCTCCCAGCAGTCAACAGCATCACCTACGTCCTCCGCTTCCTGGAGAAACTCTGCCACAACCTTCGTAGTGACAATCTGTTTGGCAACCAGCCCTTTACACAGACTCATTTGTCACTCACTGCCACAGAGTACAGCCACAGCCACGACAGGTACCTACCAGGTAGGAGTTGGGATGGGGCCTGGGCTGAGAGTCGGGGACAGGGCTAGCAGCAGCACCTGCAGGGGCCCAGGGCCAGCCTTCAGAACTGTTGGCCTGGCACCTATTCTCCAGAAGTCTGCTTTTCTGTCCCTTACTTTTGCCATATCTGAGAATTTTCAGTCTCCTTTCATCTTTACTTTTTCTTCAGGATTTTGATTTCTGTCTCTAGGATTACACCTATTTTGGTCTAGATCCTTATCCCTAGGTAAAAGGTGGTTCACAATTCCCCTTCTGAGCTTCAGACTACATGTGGAGCAACTGTGAAGTCACAGAACGTCTTCCATTGTGAACCTGGCAGCAAAGGCCTAACAAGATCTCCCTTGCCAGCAGGAAGGTTTAGTTTCAGGCTACAGATTGAGAAATTTGCTCTCTGGTGATTGGCCATCTATTCTTTCGTTTGGCACATGGCCCTAACTTCCAGCACTGCCAGTCTAGCAAGTCAATTCAAGTTCCTGCTATTTCTAACTAGGCTGGAAAATAACTTTCTTAGTTAACATACCAGACCCACAATGGGAAAGCAGATGCCACGTGGCCAGATCAGTGACTAAGTACTTCCGAGAGAGATTAAAGATTCAGTGGAACTCTGCGTCTCTCATCTGGAACCCAGGACACAGAACAAGGGAGGAAAGGAAAGCTCAGCCTTAAACGTAGCAAGGTAGGTCGTTACTGAGAGGGAGGAAAGGCCCTTAAAAAATCCCTGCAGACCATGTCCTGAGCAGGGACATAGAGAGGGGAGCCACCAGCGTGGTCACTGTGCTGTCTGTTGATAGGAGGGTGCAAGTCTGAAAGGTGTCTTTTCCGACCTTCCTCTACACAAACAAGTCTTGTTCCCACACTGCCTTCCGTGGTGTCTTCATCACAGTCTTAACAGAATCACCTCTGATAAAAGCACTGCTTCTAGAAAATGTGCCCAGGGAAGTGACTGTTCACCCATTCCTCTTCCCCCTTTCCCTCACAGATACTTCTGTACCCAAATGTATATAGCTTATGTGACTTGCAAGCAGGTCAAAATGATACCTGAATTAAATAGTCTCTGTGGAGGCCAGACCATCTGATCCCTGCAGCCATTTCTGTGATCCCCTGGCTGATGCTTTTCTGTGGAGGAAACTTCTCACATAACCTATGCTAGATTGCTTTCTTTCAGTACCAGAGTCTCTGAAAATAGAAAAAGGCACTCTGACTTACAGTTAGAATGTTGCACTGGGAGTCTGGACTGGGCATGGTAGAGCTGGTACAGACAAAGGCAAGTTGTTAAATATCTCTAGTTGGGCATTCAGGAACTCTTATCTGCATTTCAGACCTGAAAGTTAGGCCTACCTGGGATTCTGAAAGAACAGATGCGTGAATGGGGTAGCATATCCATGAGTGTAGCTGCTAGTTTAAAGAGATTTCTCAAAGAAATAGGAACTCCAAATTCTTAAATGGAATGACATCATTAAGAAGTGAAAGAAATATACTGGTGGCAGCATTCAGAGAGTGGTAGGGATGCACCTCATGGGCCTGCAGTCCCAAACGTGGTTTTGGAACCTGGGCATGACCTTTCCTGGGAATTCCTCTGATTCAGCTACTCGGTAAGAGGAAGCAAACTGTAGCCAGACTCTTCTTGCCTCACCAACTGAGAGAAACAAAGACCAAGGTATTACATTCTGCCATTGGCTGCTTCCTCTCCCTTCCCTATTTTCAGACAGATTGAGCCCATGCTTTGTGTCCTCCTCTGCTCTTAAGCTGTTCCTCGTAGTGGGTGCTCAGCAACTTGTCTGCTCTCACTCCAGTTTCGATTTGCTTCCCTGAAATTAGCCTTTAACTATGCCCAGACAAGCCATAACCCTGCCTAAACTTCTAACTCCTCTGCGCTTCGTAGTGTATCTTTTCTGTTTGCCTGCCTGCCTACCTTCCTGCCTGCTTGCCTGCCTTACTGACCCTTTGCCCCACCTCTGATCTTATCATTTCCTGTGGTTTTCTGATTACTTATTCAAACCTCTGCCAAAGAGCTGGATCTGTACAAAAGCTATCTTTTGCTTTGCTCTTTGGATCTGGTATTTATGACTTCTGCCCTTCCACCTGGCTACACACTTCTACTAGACATCCATAGGTACCACCTCTGTTATCTGGGTGCTTACTGGACCCTCTCCCTTTCCTATAGCCTTGTCTCTACATCACCCTATCACTTATGGTCCTGGCCCAACTGACCATGCACTTCTCATATAGCAGGCGGTCTCCCAGAGCTCAGGTAGATTTCATATCCCACTAAGCTTCAAACCTAAGTTGAGACTATTACTTTTTTCTTCAATGTTTTATTTTAAAAATTTCAAAACTACAGAAAAGGTACAAAAATAGAACAGTGAGCAAACATGAACTCTTTGCCTAGGTTTACCACTTAACTTTTTGCAGTAAATTATTTACTTCATCTGTTTCTCCTAAATATATATATACACACATATAAATATATGTACTTGTTGAATATTTATATATTTAAAATATGGTTTTTGTTTATTTACTGAACGATTTGAGAGTTAATTGCCGATTAGAGATTTTATTCTTAAATACTTTTGTGTGTATCTCCTAAGAATAAGGAGCATAATGGTATTATTATGATCAAGAAATTTAACATTGAGAAAAACTAATGAAATTTAACATTAATAAAATACTACTAGGCCAGGTGCGGTGGCTCATGCCTATAATCCCAGCCCATTGTGATGCCGAGGTGGGCAGATCACTTGAGTTCACGACCAGCCTGGCCAACACGGTGAAACCCTATTGCTACTAAAAATACAAAAAATTGGTGAGGTGTGATGGTGCATGCCTATAATCCCAGGTACTCAGGAGGCTGAGGCAGGAGAATCACTTGAACCCAGGAGGCTGAGGTTGCAGTGAGCCAATAATGTGCCACTGCATTCCAGCCTGAGCAACAGAGTGAGACTCCATCTCAAATAATAATAATAATAATAATAATAATAATAATAAATAAATAAATAAAATACTACTAGCTCTTATATAGTTCATATTAGAATTTCCCCCAGTTGTCACAGTAATGTCCTTTATAGCTGTTTTTTCCTAATCCAGGATCCAATAAAGGCTCATCCACTGCATTTCATTGTCCTGTCTCTTTACTTTCCTTTATCTAGAACAGTTATCCGACTTTTTGTTTCTATCTTTCACATGACATTGGCATTTTGAGTGATCCAGGCCAATTGTTTTAGTTTAGGTAATCAAATATTTACAAATACTTACTCTGTGCCAGATTCTATATTAGACTCTAGGGAGACAGAGATGAGACAGACTCCATCCCTGCACTCAAGGAGCTAAGACAGGGAGAAATACATGAACATGTGTGTGGTCAAAGCAGAGCACAGAGGTATTCTGGCCCAGCAAGGTATGATGAGCAAGGAGTACAATGAAAGAAGAAGTCAAGGAAGGATTCCTGGGGGAGGCAATGTCAGAGCAGTCTCTCCTTCAGAACTGTACATGTGGCTGGATCAAGTAAAAGGCTGGTGAAGACTAAAAGAGGCCCAGTGGGTGCAGTGGCTCAGTATTAGGCAGGAGATTTTATTGATTTCACTGGTCCCAATGACTTAATTTTAGCTGTAATTGTAATCTACCCAGCATTAAACTGAGTCTACTGTTTTGGCATTTCTCAGGTTCCTGTCAGAGGAAGTGGTTCATTGCCCTTGGCAATGGTTCCTTGTGCCTTTCTTTCCAGTTGTCATCCAGGTCTTTTGAGTTAGTTACAAAGTAGTTCTCCTGCAAAAATCCCAAGATTCACAGTGGTTAAAGCCAAATAAAAACCGAAGTATCGGCCGGGCGCAGTGGCTCAAGCCTGTAATCCCAGCACTTTGGGAGGCCGAGGCGGGTGGATCACCAGGTCAAGAGATCAAGACCATCCTGGTCAACATGGTGAAACCCCGTCTCTACCAAAAATACAAAAAATTAGCTGGGCATGGTGGCGTGTGCCTGTAATCCCAGCTACTCAGGAGGCTGAGGCAGGAGAATTGCCTGAACCCAGGAGGCTGAGGTTGCGGTGAGCCGAGATCGTGCCATTGCACTCCAGCCTGGGTAACAAGAGCGAAACTCCGTCTCAAAAAAAGAAAAAAAAAAAAACTGAAATATCAGGATGTACCCTGATCCCCACATGGGTTTCCTCATAGAAATTGTCAAAGTTTTAAGATTATGCAAATGCTCATAATTCATTGAAGCACACTGTCTGGCACACCTCCGCTTTTCAGGTAGACCTTCTTGGGACCACAGCTTAAATTTCAAGGCATCAGGAAGACCTCCAAGGCTCTCCTCATTCAAAAGAGATGCCTCTGATGCTGTCTGTCTTAATATCCTTTTCTTTCCTTTGTTATAACTACAACAGTTGCTAATATTTTTAGCTACTTGTATTTTGTCATCCACCCCACCATAGTTAATGTTCCATGACGGTAGGGACAATATTGTTTTCACCATTCTCAGTCTCCATCATCCTAACTGTCACATGGTAATTATTTAATAGTATTTGTTAAATGAAAGAGTAGTGAAGGATGCGGGAAGTGGTTCAGAGAGGGATTTTTTTTTTTTTTAATGTTGAGAGTGACTTAAACATCCACAGGACTGTGCTATGTCTTTGGGTCCTGTGTTGGTGTTAAGAACTTTCTTAGATCAACAGCTGTAGTTCCTTGGTCACTCAGTTCACCCCCATGAAGGGGAAAGCTTGGTTATGAACATGGAATCTTTGTGTATTGGAGATGAGCTAGTGTCTAACCCAACATGTGAGGGTGGTCATCTAATCTCTGCTTAAATACTCCTGATGACAGGTTCTATCTTTGGCAGTTGATTTTATTGTCAGACAGTTCTGATTGCTAAAATGCCCTCCTTTTTAAGCTGACATCTGCCTTCTTACAACTCCTACCCCACTTCTACTCTCTGTATTCCAAAAGAGCAAATCTACCTCCAATCCTCCTCTTTTCCCATGACTGCCCTTAAGGTATTTCTCTCCCTTGACTTTTCTCCAGACGAGCCTTCCCAGGGCCTTTCCCCTTTGCCATGATCTTGAGGTTCCTCACCACCACTCTGATCATCCTCCACCAGGAACTCTGTAATTTCTAAGGTCAGCTTTGCAGTGTGATACTCTGAGAAGAGCTGCTTCTCATTGAAAATAAATGCATAAGGGCTAGGTCTTTATCTGTTTACCTCTGCATGTACCATACCTAGCATAGTGGCTGTCACACACACAAAGGATGCTCAACAAATGTTTGTTGGATCACAGTTGCTCCCATATCTCCAGCATATCAATAGTAAATTTTACATGGACCCTGGGAAGTTTAAGCGTTTTTTTCATCTTTATTTTATAGGTGAGCAAAGGAATCCCATAAAAAGGCAGTGATCATTGACTATTCAAGTTTTCCAGCCCCAGTCTCTGACACCTGGGCCAGTGGTTTCAAAGTCTCTTTTGTTTTAGCAACAGAACTCCTTAAAAAAAAAGGCGGTGGGGGGAGTGTGTTTTGTTTTGTTTTGTTACAAAGGTAAAATTGTATATAAAATTTGTATATACTGCAGTGCAGTATATACAAATTAATAAAAATTAAAACCAGAGTAGTTTTTTTGTTTTTTTTGTTTTTTTTGAGACAAGGTTTCCCCATGTTGGTTAGGCTGGTCTCGAAATCCCAACCTCAGGTGATCAGCCCGCCTCGGCCTCCCAAAGTGCTGGGATTACAGGCGTGAGCCACCGTGCGCAGCCAAAACCAGAGTAGTTTTGAGAGAAGCTGGGATGAGGCCCATATCCCTACTTACTTGGCCTCCCTATGGATGGCCCACAGGGCTCTGTAGAGCACAGTTTGAAACTATTGCAGTCTTCAGGCCCGCCGTGGAGGATCACACCTGTAATCTCAACACTTTGAGAGACCAAGGTGGGCAGATCACTTGAGGCCAGGAGTTCAAGACCAGCCTGGCCAACATGGCTAAATCACATCTCTGCTAAAAGTACAAAAAAAGAAAAAGAAAAAAATCAGGTCAGTTGTGGTGGCTCATGTCTGTAATCCCAGCACTTTGGGAGGCCAAGGCAGGTGGATCACCTGAGGTCGGGAGTTTGAGACCAGCCTGACCAACATGGAAAAAACCCCTCTCTACTGAAAATACAAAGTAGCTGGGTGTGGTGGTACATGCCTGTAATCCCAGCTACTCGGGAGGCTGAGGCAGGAGAACTGCTTGAACCTAGGAGGTGGAGGTTGCAGTGAGCTGAGATTGCACTCCAGCCTAGGCAACAAGAGCAAAACACCATTTCAAAAAAAATCAGCCAGGCATGATGGCATGTACCTGTAGTCCCACCTATTTGAGAGGCTGAGGCACAAGAATCACTTGAACCCACGAGGTGGACGTTGCGGTGGAGTGCGAAGAGATCATGCCACCACTACACTCCAGCTTGGGTGATAGAGTAAGACTCTGTCTCAAAAAAAAAAAGAAAGAAAGAAAAATTGCAATTGCAGTCTTCTGGCCTGGCACTGTCCTACCAATGACAGCCTCATCTGATCAGCCTTGTGGGGACTAGGACCTCCTAGAGCTTTGGAGCATGATGCTTCATTTTTTCAGTACCTCTCGTTAGGATAAGATTTCATGACTGGCTATCAGTCCAGATTTTCAGACCCTTCAACTCAGAATCTACATCTTAGTATTCTTAGCATTGCTGAGAGGAAGAGACACTCAGTGGTTTGCATCAGCACCTGGTGAGCCCCCGGCTTTGTCATCATAATTATTCTTGACATCTGTTAGCTCATGTGAGGCAGACAATACTATTCCCAGTCTTAGCTGAATAAAATGAGAACTAGAAGGGTGAGGTTATCCTGCTGGTAAGTGCAGAAACTGGATGAAATCTTTTTCTTGAACTATCACAGACAGCTTAGATTTACCACTTCAACTCTGAATGAAATACAAAATAACAATTTTTTACATTATAAAGTTCATCCCATTCCATTTTCTCATTTCATGTTCTCAGCATGATAGGGGATGATTTTTCTCCATTTTATACATGAAGAAACTGGTGCTCAGAGAAGACAAGCTGCTTGTCTAGGATCACATTCCTAGTGAAAGGCAGGAGTCCAGGTATAGAACCCAGGTCTCCTACTTCCTGGACTGGGTTCCTGTTCATGTCTCAAAGTGGGACCCTATGCGTCATTTTTCCTGGAAAAGAGGAATCAGAACCCTCATCTGCAGAAAGGAGGTGGGATATGGTTTAGGTATTATGGACCCTCAAAGACTTACCTTTTCAGAACCACTTCAAGGAAAGGGCTTCAACAGCCTCTTTGATAGAAGGGTGAATAGCTAGCTAACCCTAGATTTGACTTTGAGCCCATAGTTGCCAAGCAATTTTAGGTAACTATGAGAAAGCAATCCTAAAATCCTAAACCATCTTAACATTGAGGTCTTACTTTGTGCCAAACAATGTACTCAAATTTAGTGTTCTTCAGAGGCTCCGAATGAATCCCAAGCATTATCTAAACACGCGAAGTCTATGAAAAATGATAAAGGACAGTGTTATACTCCAGTACTCAAGATACCCTCCACAAGCAGAGAATTCTGTGGCCTGGGCTGAGGAACTGATTTGGTTTGGGTAGAACCCAATCATGAGAGGGAGTCTGCTTTGGGTTCTGTGTACAGTGATTGGGTGCTGCCGCCTGGTGTTGGGCCATGGACTGGGTGGAGAAACATCAGGGTAAGATTCCTTTTACAGAAAACATAAACAACAGCCACCTGTCTTTTGGTTATATATCAAGAAGGCCTGAAAAGTAGGATGCTTTTTCTGGATTGCTTTTATCAGTTTTGTCCCATCAGGAAGTACCTTGTCAGTAAGGGACTGCCTTAAGTTCATTTGATACTGGACAGTTTTCCTGGGCACCCAGAACCTAAATTCAACACGGTAGGCATCAAAATAGCCTAATTGCCCCCAAACACAATGTCTCTAATTCAGTCCCTAGATGAGGGTTCATAAAGACCTTAAAGGCTCATTATACACAGTGCTCTATGGAAGGATTGTCAGTGCTACAGAAGAGAACCCTTAAAGACAGAGCATCATCTATTCTGTCTGGAAGGATTACACCATCGGAGATGACGTTGTTATTACAGAAAATGCCATGAAAGCCATCAAGTCTGAAACAGTGCATTTATGCTAAAGAAAACTGTGTCCAGATGCTGAGCATAACTTTATAGGATTTATGATAGAGCCAATCAAAAAAATCATAAAATAGATTGTGGATATGGCAGAAAGGTAGGGGGCAGACGTGGTTTCCAGATGTAGATCTTGGAGGAATTCAAGAGCTAATAGACACCAAGCCAGAGGAATCAACAGACGATGACTTGATGGAGATGAGTGCTTCCAAACCAGTGCCAGATGAGAAAGAAGGCAGAGAAAAAACAGTGCAGTGCCAGGAAACAAATTGACATTAGACAATCTGGCAGAAGTGTTCTGATTATTCAAGACTGTTTTTGGTTTCTTGTATGATATGGACCATCTATGATATGGGCACAGAAACTAAAGCAAATGGCAGAAGAAGGATTGGTACCATACAGAATCACTTTTTGAGAAATGAAAAAGCAAAAAGTCAGACAGAAATTATGACCTATTGCTGGGTGTGGTGGCTCACGCCTGTAATCCAAACACTTTGGAGGCCAAGGCGGGTGGATCACCTGAGGTTGGGAGTTCAAGACCAGCCTGGCCAACATGGTGAAACCCCGTTTTTAAAAAAATTTTTTTAATTTAAAAAAAAAAGAAATTATAATCTATTTCCATAAAGTTACACCAAGTGTGCCTACCTCTCCTGCCTCCCCTTCCACCTCCTTCACCTCTTCCATCTCCTTCACCTCTTCCACCTCTGCCACCCCTAAGACAGCAAGACCAACCCTTCCTCTTCTTCCTCCTGCCCAGCCTACTAAACATGAAAATGATCCACTTCCACCAAATGAATAGTAAATATATGTCCTCTTCCTTATGATTTTCTTAATAACATTTTCCTGTATCTTATTTTATTGTAAAAATACAGTGCATAATACATATACCACACACACACAAAAATTCACCTTAAAAAAAAAATCCCTTTACAAGTAAAGGCTTTCATAGCCATTCTTTTCTGATATTCACAAGTTCTTCAGAAGAAAGGGGCTTCCCATGTTATAGATTAGGAGACTAAAGTTCCCAGAGAAGCAGTCTGCTGAGTGGCAGAGCCAAATTCTTCTGCTGATTTTGATCGCCATGCCCAAGCTCAGCACTCAACAACCCCAGCTTCGTTGAAGTGTTTCTGTAGAATTGGGCAAATGCAAAATGAGAGATGATACATGGGAGCAGATCCTCTGCAAACAAGCCTTTAACAAAGCATCAAGAAGCATTTCTGACATGTCCTGCTGGTTGAGCAGAGGGTCACCTTTTAAAGTACTCTCATCTAAGCAAATATATCCCGGTTCTAGAATCTTCTGTCTCAGGCAGTTTCTTCCGTCTTAGAATAGCTCCATTTGTTTAAGATTTTCCTTATCCAGAAAAAGCATAGGGCATCTAGACCAGAAGAAGCCTCAAAGACCATCTCGTCCAACAAAGAATTTCTAAAGAGGCTGAAGTCCAGAGAGTGGCATTGAGCTTGACTAAGGTCCCCTAATGAGAGCCACAACCCTGACTGGAACACAGGCCTCCTGAGTCCGTGCCCAGGGCTTTCTCTTTTGCTACTGCTTGCTCCACTCAAACAGGTACCTGGGATCCAGCACTCTGGCAGTCCTTCTAAGCTCTAACTCTGGTTTTACTGTTTTTCAGGTGAAACCTTTATCCTGGGGAATAGTCTGTCCCGGTCCTTGGAACCACACTCAGATTCAATGGACTCTGCCTCGAATACCACCAACGTTGTCAGCACCTCCCAAAGGCACTGGCCCTTGCTTCCATCCTGTGGCCTCCCAACTAGCACTGCCTCAGCTGTGCGCAGGCTATGCTCCAGGGGTAAGCTTACTAGAATCCTGGCCCTCCTTCCCTCCGTCACTCTTTCCTTCACTTCCTTCCTGAGATCTGGGAGGCCAGAGAGGACCTAGCTCTGTTGCCCTCTGCCTGGTGGTGGGACTAGGGGCTGGCCTTACTTTTGTGCCTGGCCTTACACCTGGGTGGGGTAATTGGAGCTCCAAGATTGGCTTGAGTATAACAGAAACTAAGAGCCAAAGACCTAGACCCAAAAGGGTCAGGGAAGGATTCATTCATTCATTCATTCATCCATTAACTATTTATTTGAACTCCATCTGTATTTGGCATGGGGAAACAAAAATTGGTCACTTTTTGTCTTCGAGGTATTATGGGGAGACAGACACTTAAACAGATAATTATAAAACAGTGTCTTGAGTGTGGTGACAGAGATATGCTGTGGGTAGTATGAAAATTGCAAGAAGGAATACCTAACCCAAGCCTGGTGTTCACGGGACACTTTCTTGAGGAAGTGATGCCTTGCCTAAGACTGTATAAATGGCCATATCAGGGCTGGTAGAGGAGGGAGAGCTTTTCAGGAAGTGGGGGTGCACAACATGAATAAGGACAAAAGAATAAGAAATAGCAGCGATTATACCATGAACTGCATGCAGTTTGGAATCGCTCAACTACAAAATGTAATACTGATACTCAAAGAGAAAAGCCTGGAAAGGTCAAGGCACATACCCCAGAAGATCTTAAGTGGGCTTTTAATTAGAGGCAAAATAGGTTTGTGTTTTGAATAGATTATTGATTACATTGTTGAGCATGGATTTGAGGAGGGGACAAGACTAAGAAACTTAAACAAGTTAGGAGGTTACTCAAGTGGGCCAGGTCCAAAATGACACAGGCTTCGGTTAGAGCAGAGACAGAGGTTTAGAGAAGACAGAGTAGATTTGAAAACTGTTCACAAGGTAAATTTTATCAGATTTGAGGATTGTGAGGAAGAAGGGAGTAAGGAATGTCTCCCATGTTTCTCGATGTGGTGGCCGTATAGATGGTGGTGCCATTAACAGAGAGGGAACCCACCACAGAAGAGAAAGAAGGCTGGGGAGCCCATGGTCATGTAGATGATACCTAACAGGCAGTGGCTATCAGATCCAATCCTCAGGGAAGAGTGCTGGGCTGACGTTATTTAGGAGTCACCAGCATATAAACAGCAGTTGAAATTTTAGGGTGAATGATACTTACTTCTCAGAAGTATTGTAGTGAATGAATATAACAGTTAACCAAAGATGAAGTCCTGGGAACCAACAAAGCTTAGTAGGTGATAACAGGAAAGGGAGCCCACCAAGGAGAAAGGAGTATTCAAAGTTAGGGAAAATTTAGAAAATTCGAAATGAGAAGAATTTGATATTGTGGTGGCCAGGAGTACAGAGAGTATTTAAAGGAGAGCACAGCATAACAAAGTTCTGGCAAAAAAGATACTGAGAAACATCTATTGGATTCCACCATTAGTGAGTAATTGGTGATATTAGAGTAGCCTTGGTGCTGTAGTGGAGGGGTGAAGGCAGGTTGCACTGAGTAGGATATCAAGGGGACTTTAATGAGAAAAAAAGCTGGTGATGAGTAGGACTATAAGTCAAAGAAGATCTTTTTTTTTTCTTTTTTTTTTGAGGCGGAGTTTCGCTCTTGTTACCCAGGCTGGAGTGCAATGGCGTGATCTCGGCTCACCGCAACCTCCGCCTCCTGGGTTCAGGCAATTCTCCTGCCTCAGCCTCCTGAGTAGCTGGGATTACAGGCACGTGCCACCATGCCCAGCTAATTTTTTGTATTTTTGGTAGAGACGGGGTTTCACCATGTTGACCAGGATGGTCTCGATCTCTTGACCTCATGATCCACCCGCCTCAGCCTCCCAAAGTGCTGGGATTATAGGTGTGAGCCACCACGCCCAGCCAGAAGATCTTTTAGAATGGGAGCCCTTCAAGCACGTATATCAGCAAACAACTTGCACCTTCCAAAAAGCAGCAATTAAGTACATAGCAAAGAGGGAAATTAAGGCCTTAGGAGTGGTAGGATCAAAGGCATAGGCAGAGGGAGTGGTCTTAAGCCAAAAGGAGGCACACTTTCTCTGAGAGAGGAGGGAAGATTGAGTGTGTCTCTCAGTGAATGGAGAAAGGGCTGATCAGGGAAGGGGTTAGGAGAGCTGAGAGACTGGATTAGTCTGTTTATTTTTTTTTTGCGGGGGGCGAGGGGGTTGAGACATAGTCTTGCTCTGTCCCCTCAGCCTCCCTAATAGCTGAGACTACAGGTACAAGCCACCACGCCCGGCTAATTTTTTATATTTTTAGTAAAGACGGGGTTTCACCATGTTAGCCAAGATGATCTCAATCTCCTGACCTCATGATCTGCCTACCTCTGCCTCCCAAAGTGCTGGTATTACAGGCATGAGCCACCATGCCCGGCCAAGACTGGACTAATCTTAAAGAAGATGGAGAAAAATGGACCAAAGAAAAGGGCATGATGATTTGCAGGAAACATCAGGACCCAGCTATGCTAGGAGACCAGTTCGCCAGTTTGCAAAAGCTGTGGTTTTCTTCTGTGGTTCTTAGGAATCTAATAGATACAGGATGAGAAAAGACAGCTTGAGAATTAAGGGGGTTTTGCTGAGCTAGTAGAGCAAGAGCTGGGAGAAAGAGGGGGAGAGTATGTAAAGAAATTAGTAATCAAGAAGAGCAGTTTGAATCATCACCCACTAGATGTGGGAAGGCAGGGTGGGAAGGTTGCAAGGCTAAATTAGGATAGGGAAAATGGAAAGTTTGACATGCCAAAGAACTTTGTGATATAATGGTTAGAGTGGACATAAGTCCCAAGAGAGCTAGAAAGATGCAAGGCTGGGGTCAGAGAATGGGAAGCTTAAAATTCTTAAGTGGATTTGTTCCAAGGGATTGCAAGAACCAAGCAGTAGCACTAGCAGTAGGTATTTGGAGTAGAATGTTGGTGAGAGTCACTGGAGGCATGGTAGCTGAATGGACTGCCTACAAGGATTAGGGCAGGAGTTGGGGTGGAACAGTGGGTAGTGAGCTAAGTAAGAGAAGTCTTCATTTACCAAGGGATAGAAACCCAGATACCTATGAATAACAGTGAGAAGGAAGAGCTGATGATTGGGTACATGTTTGGCCTCCAAATAATGTGAGCTTTCATAGAAGGATGGTCTAGAAGCAGCAGTGGGGAGCCAGGAGAATGTCACTTCCACACCCTGATTCCGGCCTCCAGCCCAGGGGCGCATGAGTGAGGTGTGAAAGTACAGGAAGACTCCATTAGCAAAACCTGCAATGAAAGAAGTCACCTCAGCAGAGAGAGAGCTTTCAGGAAGGCTGAGTTGTGGGAAGAAGCCTGTGGTGCCCCTACCCCTACCCTAAACCCAGCAAGGCAGCAAAATGGAATCTAAAGGGATCTCAGGTAGAGGCAGAGCTGGGCATTGATTCTAGCCTCAGCTGCCTTGCCATGAGATTTGGGTCAGTTGTCTCACCTCTCAGGTCTTCCTCATATGCAGAATGTTCCTCATGTGCAAACTGGAGATGGTGACACCAACCTGGTCTTTCCACAGGAGTGTTAAAAGGATCAAATGAAAGAAGGGATATGGAATCATTTTGGAAACTAAATCGTTCCCCAGGTATGAGGGGAGTTATTGTTATTTTTATCTTCCCCAAGGCCCTGTTTCTGAGAAGAGTACTTTGTGATAGGCTGCCCTCCTGGCACTGGCCTCAAATGGTACTGTTGTCCCCTAGGCATCTCCACCCTTCTTTGGAGACACACTGTGAGTCTGTCTGCCAGGTCATTGCATAAATCTCTTTACGGCCTGATGGTCTTCATAACACTATGAAAAGATTCATTTGGCTAGCCCTAGAATTGTTTGTCTTAAAGAATTTGGATGTTGAGTCTGTTTCCTCTGTTACTGCATTAACCACGATTATTAGGCATGAGCTTGTTAGTTGTCCTCTTTTGGATGTGCCTCACCTGCCTTAGTCATGCTCAGACAGACAACCAGCTCTCCTTGAAGAGTAAGTGTCAGCTATACACATTGAGGGGCGGTGGGTAGAGCTTTGCCATAGGCTGTCTGCAGAGGGAATAGAAAAAGACAGGGCAAGTCCTTCCCGTCTCTTTTCAGAGTCCACTCCCCTCTGAACTAAAGATAGTATGATACCTCCTTCAAAGGCTATTTTAAAGGTCAAATGAGTTGACAAAGGTTGGGGTTCTTTCTAATTTATAGAATATTGTTTATGTATCAGGTCACATTTTACCACTACCACCCTGTTAGTTCATGCCACAGTGTTCTCTTGCCTGGATTATCATAACGGCCTCCTCTTTTTCTTTTTTTTTTTTAAAACAGTTTCTCTCACTCTGTCACCCAGGCTGGAGTCCAGTGGCTCAATCATGGCTCACTGCAGCCTCAACCTCCTGGGCTTAAGCGATCTTCCTCTCAAGCTACCTTCTGAGTAGCTGAGACTACAGGGGCACATCATCACACCCAGCTAATTTTTCGCAGAGATGTCAAGTTTGGCCATGTTGCCTAGGCTGGTCTCAAACTCCTGGGCTCAAGCAATCTGCCCACCTCGGCCTCCCAAAGTACTGGGATTACCGGCATGAGCCACTGCATCTGCCACTGCATCTGCCCTAATAGCCTCCTTCTTAACTGGTCTCCCTTGCTTCTATCCATGTGTCCTGAAGTCTGTTATTAACATAAACAATGAGAGTGATCCTGCTCATTGCAAGTTGGTTCATGTAACTCCTGTGCTCAAAACCTACCTGTTTCACTCAGAAAAGCCACTGGTTTTCTGTGGCATACAAGGTCCTCTGTTATCTTCACTGCTACTTCCCTCCTCTTCTTCAACACACACATCCATGCCTCTAAGTGTTATTTCATACCACTTTCTCCCTCATTTGCTTTGTTCTGACACATTGGCCTTCCTGCTAAATCCTACACGTGCTATTTGCTCTTCTGCCTCAAGGTCTTTGCTCAGATTTCACCATTTCAGAATGTCTCTCCTAACCACCATATAAATGAGCAACTTCCTACCACCTGCCCCCATGGAGTTTATATTCTAATGGGAATAGGCTGACAGACAGGCGTATAAATATATAGTGTTATATATGTGGATCATCTTAGTCCATTAGAGCTGCTCTAACAAAGTACCATGAACTGGGCGGCTTATAAACAACAATTTAGTTCTCACAGTATTGGAAACTGAGAAGTCCAAGATGAAGGCACTAGCAGATTTGGTGTCTGATGAGGACCTACTTCCTGGTTCACAGACAGCCACCTTCTCACTGTAACCTCGCATAGCCGAAGGGGCAAGGGAGCCCTCTGCAGCCTGTTCTGATGAGAGTACTAAACTCATTCATGAGGGCTCTGCCCAGATTTCCCATCTCCAAATGTATATCACCATGTGGGGTGGGAAGGCGCAGGATTTCAACATAGAATTTAGGGGGATGCATATTCAGTCAATAGCATGCATTTGTATATACTATCATATATATGTGTATATAATATCATGTATGTATGTATATATGATACCTAGCCTCTGATTAGAGGAATTAGTTAATGGTCCAAGAAGGACACAACCTTGCATATACACACTCTCTTCCCATATTTTCTCTCTGTTCTCTAGAGTCTCTCACCTGGTTCTTCTCTTAGCATAACAGTGTTTTTTGTTTGTTTCTTTGTTTGTAATGGAGTCTCGCTCTGTTGCCCAGGCTTGAGTACAATGACACAATCTCAGCTCACTGCAACCTCCACCTCCTGAGTTCAAGCAATTCTCCTTCCTCAGCCTCCCGAGTAGTTGGGATTACAGGCACCCGCCACCATGCCCAGCTCATTTTTGTATTTTTAGTAGAGACATATTGGCCAGGCCGGTCTTGAACTCCTGACCTCATGATCTGCCCACTTCAGCCTCCCAAAGTGCTGGGATTACAGGCGTGAGCCACCGTGCCCAGCCCACAGTGGACTTTCAAGACAGGGAGAAGTTACTGGTTCACAAAGCCCCCTCCAACTTTCCATCTACTAATACCTCCAAAAAGCCATAGGGATTTCTGTGACTAAGCAGCCCCTGTTGGCTCTAACATACTTTTCCCCTGGTCTGGTCAATGCCTGACTATAAGCTTGAAAAGATGATATGCTAAAATCTTTTCTCCAAAAGGCAGGGGCTGGGCTGGGCTGGGTCAGGCCAGGCCAGGCAAAGTGTACTTTGACTTTGTAGACCTGGGACACAGAATGAAGGAAAATGGGAGGAGATTCTTCACCTTTGCAGAAGAGAGTTAAATATTTGGCCCTTCTACTTTAACAGATATGTGGGAGGGTTGGGAGGTTGTTTGTTTATTATTTGTTTGTTTTTGAAACAGGGTCTTACTCTGTCACCCAAACTGGAATGCAGTGGCATGATCATAGTTCACTGTTAACCTTGAACTCCTGGGATCAAGCCATTCTCCCACCTCAGCCTCCAGAGTAGCTGGGACTATTGGTGCACACCACAATACCCAGCTGATTTTTGTACTTGTTTTGTAGAGACAGGGTCTCACAATATTGCCCAGGCTGGTCTCAAACTTCTGGCCTTAAGCGATCCTCCTGCCTTGGCCGCGCAAAGTGCTGGGATTACAGGTGTTAGCCACTGCACCCAGTGTACAGGTATGTGTTAGCTCTGCCACTTGGTAGTTTGTGACAAGGCACCTCTGGATGTTGTAGATACAGACATGAGCAAGGCAAGGACCCTGTCTCAGTAGAGACATAGTCTAGTTGGAAAGAAAGAAAAATATACACGTAACTGTTACCTGTGATCATTCACTTACCTAACAGACTTGTTTGAACAGCTACTGTGGCAGACCAGCACTCCTTTACATGTCAGCAACGTAGCAGGGAACAAGAGAGAGCTTACATTGTATAGGGAGAAGACAGATAAAAAACATGAAATTATTGAGTCCATGAAATTATTTTAGGTAACAATATGTACTGTGGGGAAAGAAAAAAAAAAAAAAACTAGGGTAATTGGATTGAAAAGAACATGTGGGGAATTGAGTATTTTTACTAGGAGATCAGGGAAGGCCTCTCTGTAGAATCAGTATTTGAGGTAAGACCCAAATGATGAGAAGGAGTCAGGCATGAAAAGGTTTTAGAAAAGAGCATTCCAGACAGAGGAAATTGCATGTCAAAGGATAAATGCATGACTTATTCAAGAAGCAGAAAGAAGTCTAGTGAGTTTGAGGCACAGTAAGGCAGGGGTAAGTTGCGAGCAGGGGTTGTAGAGTGAAATGAGGCCAAAGGCAGGAAGGCTCAGTTGATGGAGTACCTCATAGACCCTGGCAAGCACCGGAATGAGTTCAGATTTCACTTCATGTGCAAAGGGAGTCCACTGCATTGAGTTTTTAGAGAGAGTTAACATGGTTCAATTACTGCTGTTTTTTGTTGTTGGTGGTGGTTGGTTTTGTTTTGTTCTGAGACAGGATCTGGCTCTGTTGCCCAGGCTGGACTTTAGTGGTGCTATCACAGCTCACTGCAGCCTGGAACTCCTGGGCTCAAACAATCCTCCTGCCTCAGCCTTCTGAGTAGCTAGGACTACAAGGATGTGCCACCACACCAGGTAATTTGTAAAAAATTTTTGTAGAGATGGAGATCTTGCTTTGTTGCCCAAGCTGGTCTTGAACTCTTGGGCTAAAGCAGCCTCCCACTTCAATATCCCAAAGTGCTGGGATTATAGGCATGAGCCAATGCCCAGCCTAATTATTCCTTTTTAAAGGTTCCTTTACTGCTTCATGGAAAATAGAGATTATTAGCATGGTGTGATGAGGGGAAATGGGTACAGAATGATCTGTAACCAAGAAGAATATACTAAATTATTTGTGAGACCATTTATTTTGGGATTAGACCAGAAAAGTTTCATAAAGGAACTAATTCTTGAAGCCAAGACCTGCTTTTGGTTAAGTTGGAGCTTGCCCAAAGAAAATTAAAAATTGAAGGGAGAGAAGAGGACAGATTTCAAGCAGAGAGAATAAAACATATAAAAGATCTCTGACAGATGATGGTCAAAATACAGAGATCCCAAATCCCACAGGGGAAACAGGAGGAGTTATATCTGAGTCAAAATTGAGATGAAAGCTCCAAGCAGAGCACTAAATTAACATTGACATTCCTGGCAGCCAAAGCAAAAACTGTTTTCTGGCTAGGCATGGTGGCTCATGCCTGTAATCCCAGCTTTGGGAGGCCAAGGCGAGCGGATCACTCGAGGTCAGGAATTCGAGACCAGCCTGGCCAACGTGGTAAAACACTGTCTCTACTAAATAGAAAAATTCATGCATGCCTGTAATCCCAGCTACTCGGTAGGATGAGGCAAGACAATCACTTGAACCTGGGAGGCAGAAATTGCAGTGAGCTGAGATTATTCCCCTGTACTCCAGCCCCTGGGTGACAGAGCAGGACCACATCTAAAAAAAACACAAAACTGTTTTCTGCCTTAGTGTATCAGGCTGTAATGAGATCACCTATTATTCAGGTCTTGGAAAATAATCCAGGGCATTTTTTTGCCAACATGCCAAGGATTTGTCTCTAATCTTACCCGGCTACCAGTGTTTCTAGAAATGGTCCCCCAGAGCCAAGACAAAAACAGCCCCACTCACCAGGCCCCCCACAACACCCAAATAGTCCGCTTACCATGTTTGTACTACTGTCTCAGGTTTGGGCTGAATCATAGCTTCCATGCAAAATTTCTTCTGGCCATTTTCAAAAATCAGATCTACCCTTTAAAAACAAAGATTTGATTTTCCCTTTGTGAGGAAATGCTTTCCTCCCTCAGCTAGCTCCAGTTCCTCGGCTCATGGTCTAGCACTGCTGTGAGCATCACCTAGAAGGCCGCTGAGATGTGCCAAGGAGAGGGTGGGGACTTACAAACTAGTCCCCGCCCATTATGATGGGTGCCCTCCTGTCCTGCAGGGTCGGACCGATTCCTGGAGAGCCGGGATGCCTCTCGACTGAGTGGCCGGGACCCCTCCTCATGGACAGTCGAGGACGTGATGCAGTTTGTCCGGGAAGCTGATCCTCAGCTTGGACCCCATGCTGACCTCTTTCGAAAACACGTAGGTACCCCTGCCTGACCTCTCATTAGGAACATGTGTGGAGAGCCTCACCTGGCGGGGCAGTACGAGATGTTCGGGGGAGGAGGGATGCTTAGAGACAAAGGGTGAGAATAGGTAGGCTTCAGCGTCACAGCAGGTGAACTGGACCCCATGTGGCTGGCACTTCCCAAGATGGCCTGTAATCAGAAGCTGGGGTGGTCAGACCAACCAGGACTCTGATGGCACTTCCCCTCCACTTCTGCCCACCTCCCACCCCCCAGGAGATCGATGGCAAGGCCTTGCTGCTGCTGCGCAGTGACATGATGATGAAGTACATGGGCCTGAAGCTGGGGCCTGCGCTCAAGCTCTCCTACCACATTGACCGGCTGAAACAGGGCAAGTTCTAAACCAGGAGAGGCAGCCTAGACAACCAAGGGGTCAGCAGGTGGGGGCAGTCTTCTAGGAATGAGGGGTATCAGCCTACCCCAGGCACTTCATTGGGGTTCCAGTGCACCTCAGGACTCCAAGAGGCTGTGTGGAGCCACCACTCCTAGCCGCAGCTGCCATGATATGTCCTTCCATGAAGGACCACAGTGTGGGGCCCAGGGCTGGTGCTGCTCTTCCCTCCCCTCAGCTCTGCCGGGGCTCCAAGTTCCCCTCTATTTATTTCTTAAGCCTGGCTGGCCTGTCACCAGTTTAGACTGAATGCCTTCCAAGTGATGGAGGAAAAGGCCAGCTCTGCCCTGGTCTTGGTGTGGCACCCCATCACCCCACAGCTCCTACTTTCTCACCAGATTACCCTGAATCCAAACTCATGGTGCAAACCTCTGCCTTTTTTTTAAAAAAGATCCTATTGTTAATTTATTGTTTCTGGCACTTGGGCAAACCCTTTAAATTACTCTTCCCACACTAGACACTGGGTTTCAGGAGGAGGGAGACTGTCCTGCCCTGGTCCCAGAGAGGCTGTCTCCAGATAGGTGTGGCCCCTCTTCAGAGGACACTATGCTAGGGCATTTTCTCTTTGAAGTGGAGAGACCCATAAAGCCTTGACCACATCACTCCATATGGGAAGGAGAAGGGTCCCTGTCCTCTTCTCTTCTCTTCATGGGGCCCTTTTGCAGCCCCAGGCCTCATCTGTGGGAAGAGAGTCCCTGCCCATACTGCCCCCACCACAGCTCTTTGCCCTGGCCAGAACTGCAGTTGAAGATCAGGCTGGATGATCTTAGGCCAAGAAGGCCCTAAGGTGGATAGGAGGGCAGGTTTTCCAGGCTGGAGACAGTTTCACTCACTCTGCTGTCCATATGCTTCCTTGTAAGCAAGTCAGCAGCACAGCTACTCACGCTGCCATCTGGACTTATTTTATGTCAATCTGTTTATAAATAAAAACCAATATAGATACCACTGTCTTTTTAATCAATTAACAGCCAAATCACTATGCATTCATTGAACCAGTCATTCCCCTTCTCTTGGTCTTAGTTTGCTCACATATAAAACGAGGTCGGGCTCATGCCTGTAATCCCAAAACTTTGGGAGGCCAAGGCAGGAGGATCTCTTGAGCTCAAGAGTTTGAGACCAGCCTGAGCAACATGATGAAACCCCAGCTCTACAAAAAAAAAAAAAAAAAATTATCCTGGTGTGGTGGCACACACCTGTAGTCCCAGCTGCTTACTGCTGCCTCACTCCTAGGAAACAAATAGTAACATCTTCAGAAAGGCTGCTCACAAGGAAGGCAGCTTCTCTACACTATCAGACAGCTTCCTTAGTTGAAGCATCTGACTCTGGCCCTATCCTTACTGCCCCCAGTTGGGGCTTCCAGAAGCAGTGTGGGAAAGTGCTGCTGGCCTTCTGCAGGATGACAAGCCCTAGTCAGTCCTGCGCTAATAAAGGCTGCGCATCCCCCACGTCTTCGTTTCTCAAACAGCAGGTAACAACCTCATCTTTCTGAAGAGATAGCTATGCTTAACCGATTTTTCAGGGCTCTTCTGGACAGCAGCCTCTGTCTGCAGCACAGAGAAGGGCCTGGCATCAGGGGAGCCCTGGAGCCCACCATGTGCCTCCTGCTCCATCTTGGGAGCAGCTGGGCCTGTCAGCACTCTGTCAAGCCTGGAATTGGTGACTAAAGAGGGAGGTGTGGAAGCTTTAGGCAGCAGTGCTGAAAGAGGTGGCAACAGGTGCCCTATATGGGCACTGGGGTCTGGAGAGACCACAGAGGGAGGAAGTGTCTCCAGCTCTCATATTCTGGAAGCTGTCAAAATGAGGGAGTCCCACGGCCAAGCTGCATGGGGGTGGGTCTCTGGGTCTGATTCCAGTGTGTGGTGAGGCCCACAGGGAGCTGAGAAGTTTTCCTGTCTGATTTCCTGCACCTGGCATGCCTGTGGCTGGCCAAGAAGGCATTGTTGAGCCTCATGAGATCACAGAGATAGCTGTGCAGGCCCCGCCCACTTCCTCTAACCCTGGTTCTGCCAAGCCTCCAAGTGCCCTGAGAGCTATCGGCCAGGGGTCGGGGTGCTGTGGGAGTTCAGGGCAGGCACCTCCCATGCTCCCAACGGAGCCACTAGGACATAAAGCTCATAGGCCTCTCCACTCCTTCGTGTCCTGTTTGACCTGAATGCCCCCAGGCTGACTGCCTCAAGGATTCCATCTGAGAAGATGCTGCCTGGGTGTGTGGGGAGCAGTAGAGGGGCTGGTGTTAAACATATGTGCACAGCTCAGGAGAGGCTCCCTGGACTTGGGGCGGGGGATGCCGGGGTCCCAACTCTAACCCTTATTCTGCCCCTCCTGACTTCTGCTTTCTGAACCAAACATGGAAGACTCAGTCTAGACTAGGAGTTCTTAGGGTCTAGGAGCCCCCTTAAGTGATAGGTTTATATGCAAAGGCCATTTTTCTGAGAGGCCATAGCCTTCTTTCATCAGTGTGTCAAAAATCATGAGAATCTCTGCTTTGAAAGCCTCTGCCCGAGCGCTGCCTAGTGTGAGCCCCCAGTGGCCTCACATTGGCTTTTAGAGCAGCAGAGAAGTCACCTACCAGTCCTCAGAATCCTGGATGAAGGCCTCTTCTCCAGGAGGACCTGTTTAAAGGTTTTCTCTGACGCGTGCCTAGAGGCAGGAGTGACCTTCTGTTAGGCAGGAAACCCTGAGAGCACCTAGGAGGCCCCTAGCCTGTGGGCCGGGGAGGAAAGATAGGACCCCTGGTGCCACTCAAATGCTGGAGCTCTCAGCGACCCGAGTTCTGGTCCCTTCTGCCGCTCTGGGCAGATCCCCTCAGGCTCCCCACAGGCGCTGTGTCCAGCTCAGTCTGCCTGACTCCGCTTTCCCGTCTTAGGCCTCACGCAGGTGGGCCCTTTCCTGCTTGCCCTCTGCCCTCCCACCCTCTCTGGCCCTGCCCAGCCTCTGCCAGTCTGTGTGCCTCCCAGGAGCCAGGATACTCCCTGAGTCCTCTGGAAGCCCCTAAGCCACACTGAGAACCCAGACCCTGGGAGGAGCAGCCAGCAGTGAGGAATCCTGGAATCCCTTCCCAGGGAGAGCCTTCCCATGACCTCCAGGAAGAGATCAGTGCAAACACAGGTGTCAGCGTCCCTGCTGGAGTACTGGGATGAGGAGTCCCTGCCGGAGCTCCCTGCGGAGCCATCCCTGACGGAATACTCCGACCTCGAAGAGGCTCCCTCGGCACACACTCTCTATGTGGGCCATCTGAACCCTCAGTTCTCAGTGCCGGTGCTCGCCTGCCTGCTGCGAGATGCCCTGGAGCGGCTGGAGCTGCCGGTGGGACGGGAGCACATCGAGGTGGTGAGGCGGCCGCGGAAGGCCTATGCACTGGTGCGGGTGACCATCCGCAGGGACACCCTGGCCTCCCTCCCCTGGCGCCTGCAGACAGCCCTGGAGGAGCACCTAATCCTCAAGGAGCTGGCAGCCCATGGAAAGGTGCTGCTACTGAGTGAGGCTCAAGGGCCCTTCAGCCACAGACACGTAAGTGGGACCTTTCCCAAGCAAGCTCCAAAGCCTCACCCCCAGAGAGAGACCCCCGGGTGGGAGTGGCCTGCAGAGTTGGGGCAGAGGGGTATCTCTGAGGAAGCAGGGACAAATCTGCAAACTTGGGGGCTGCTACTCAAATGACCATGGCTTGTGGCTGGTACTGCCAGCTTTCTCCCAGAAAGACACTGACCCTCAGTTTGCCTCTAGCCCGATGGTTGCTTCGTGAAGAAAGGCTGTGGGGCGGCCTCCTCCTTGGGCCCTTTTGCATTCCAGCCTCTGGGCCTGGGAGACCCTAGAAGTCACAGGGCCACTCCTTGGCCCACCTCACTTTTTCAGTTGACGAACATGAACACCCACTCTGTGCCAGGAATAAGGCAGGGATGAGAGACCCAGCCAGACCCCCAAGGAGACCTGCATCTGTGGGCAGAGCCGGACAGCCACCCACAGAGCTGCAAGGTAGCTGCGCTCAGAGCTATGAGAGGACATAGGAAGGAATACCCTGCTCTCTGGGGACAGATTCACAGGGGAAGTGAAATCCAGGCTGGGACTTAGGGAGTTGGACAGGTACCTGAAGAGGACATTCCAGGCAAGGGAAACAGAACATGCAGAGGGAACCTGGGGGCTTAGAGGGAGTGTCGTGTCTGCAGAAGTGCGAGGCATTTGGTGTCCCTGGAGCTCCTGCTAAAGGCTGCAGGGGGTGCTGCAGAAGGAAGTTGGGTCGTAAAGTAGGGCAGGGCCAGGTCACCAAGGCTATAGTCCAAAGCAAGGCTAAAGAGCTGGCTTTACTGGGACATGGGAAGTTAGGGTGGGTCCCTCCATGAGGCAGTGATCTTGGTTTTTTTTTTCTTTTGGTGTGAAAACTATTGCAGAACTAAAAGGCTCTGTGGCTTTACTTTTCAACTCAATTTCATATCTGTATGAAGTTTAACTTTTTTTTTTTTTGAGATGGACTCCTGCTCTATCGTCAGGCAATACTCCTGCCTCAGCCTACCGAGTAGCTGGGACGACAGGTGTGCGCCATCATGTCCGGCTACTTTTCTGTATTTTAGTAGAGACAGGGTTACACCATGTTGACCAGGATGGTCTCGATAACCTGACCTCATGATCTACCCACCTCGGGCCTCCCAAAGTGCTGGGATTACAGCATGAGCCATTGCACCCAGCCAGTTTATCCTGTTTCTAAGACTGATAAATTCATCTTCTCTGGGGAGCTGCAGGGCTGGTTTCCTAGTCTCCTCACCCAAGCCCATGCTCATGAAGTAGCAATCTGCCTAGAAGTTAGCATCACTAAGGAGGGTCGACTGGAAAGGGTGAGCGTGGAAGAAGGGAGGTTGGGCTGGGGCTGGCTGGGGAGGCCCAGACTAGAAATGGCCCCGAGAAGGCTCATACCAAACCCTGGGGCAGCACAGAAACCACAAAAAGGAACTCAGGAGGCATAGAAGGAAGTGGAGATTAGGGTAGACTTGTCAATGGCCCAGAAAGTAGTGGGCAAAGGTTTGAGATCAGGAAGTGGGTGGGGTGTTTGGGAGTCCCTCTCCATTCAGGGTACTGCAGGTCTGTCACAGGGTGCTGAGGTATCTGTTAGAATGATCTGGCTCTGGGCCTCAGGGGCCTATCTGCAATCCAAGTAAGAAAAAACTGGCCCACACGTGTCCCAGCACCCAGCCCTGGGAAGCAGAAATCTCTTCCCCACCAGGCATCCCACAGCTCACCTGGGAAGAGCCCAGCTCTGCGGAGGAAGGAGTGCCAGCTGGAACCCTCGATCCAGCAGGGTTTCCTGCCTCGGCTGCAGGAAGGTGGGCACAGCTGGGCCACTCGGCCCAGTGAGGGACATCAGGATGGCCGTGAGAGTCGGGCCACAGCAGGGGTCTGACTGGGGGTTCTTGCAGTCCTTCTCAAGGTCAGGGCTCTCATTTTCTTTCTGGACCCACACACTCATTCTTGACTCCCACCCAGAAGGAGGAAGACAGTGGCCTGAACCCTGGCCCCAGCCCTAACCCAGGCTCTAGTGTTCCGCTGCCCGCCTGGCCTACATACAAGCAGCCTGATAGGCCCCAGGCTTGGCAGCATCAGAGCTGCCAGACCCGGCCCAGTGGCGTGTGCTCCGATAGTGCCATTGTGCACCAGGAGATCGTGGGCAAGGAGCAGCTCTTCCAGGGTGCTTTCCTGGGCAGCGAGACCCGCAACATGGAGTTCAAGCGGGGCAGCGGCGAGTACCTAAGCCTGGCCTTCAAGCACCACGTGCGGCGCTACGTGTGCGCCTTTCTCAACAGCGAGGGCGGCAGCTTGCTTGTGGGAGTAGAGGACAGCGGCCTGGTGCAGGGCATCCGCTGTGGCCACCGTGACGAGGACCGCACACGGCTGCTGGTGGACTCCATCCTACAGGGCTTCAAGCCCCAGGTCTTTCCTGACGCCTACACCCTCACCTTCATCCCTGTGATCAGTACCTCGGAGACCAGCGTCCCCCTCAAGGTAAGCCTGAAGGACATGAAGGCCTCTGGGCCTGTCATCTGTCATCACTCTCTGCCAGGCAGTGCTGGGGCAGGGACAGGACTAGGGGCCACAGGAGAAGAGGCTGGGGATGTCCCCATGCCAGCCCTGACAGGCTGCCCTAAGGAAGCAGTGAGCGATTTTGAGTGGCCTGGCAGGAAGGGGACTGCCAACCATGAGGGTTAGTGCCTTCAGAACTGATGTTGCCCCTACCAAGGTGATCCGCCTGACTGTGCACACCCCCAAGGCCCAGAGCCAGCCGCAGCTCTACCAGACAGACCAGGGCGAGGTGTTTCTGCGGCGTGATGGGAGCATCCAGGGCCCACTGTCCGTCAGCGCCATCCAGGAGTGGTACAGGCAGGTACAGAAGCTGAGGCCAGTGGGCAGGGCAGGGTGGGGCAGAGCTGACCCCAGACTCCTTTAGCCACCCACTGAGCAAACCAGGGCAAGCCACCATGGTTCCTTGGGCCCTGCATTACCTTGTTTAACCCAAGGGGTTAGATTAAAATCACACCATATCCTGTCCTCCACGGTTAGGTGGCTAGGGGGGAGGGAGAGGCCCATGCCCTCTCCTTTTAAAAATCTATGCAGTAACTTCCTTTCATGGGTGCCTGAAACCCCTTACCTCCTACTTGGGCAGTTAACGCACTCGATCTTGAGTGGCTGAGGGAGCAGGGAGATTGGAATGTTGAGAAGTCACCAGAAAACCCCAAGGACTGTTCACTGTATTTTAGGGGAGGCCCTAAAGAAAAGGGGTGGAGGGGTGCTGGACACAGTTCCAAGGAAGAGCTTTTTCAAGAGGGAAGCAGGGGAGAGTGGAGGACAAGGGGCCGGCAGTGAGGTGGGACATGGCCTGCCGGCATGGAGGCGGCCCCCTTCCAGGGTCAGTAGCCAGCAGCTTCCCTCAGACTGATGTCAAAGGCAGCAGCAGGCCGAGGGGCCTGACTTCTCTAGCTGAGAAGGCTCCCAGGCTCGCTGGGCTTTGCCTTCCTCAGTTTGGCCCCAGATGGAGGATGGACAGGCCTGAGACCATGCGGGCTTGGCCACGTGCATCTCCCATATCCCCTCAGAGGTGGCTGGTGGAGCTGGGCAAGCTGGAGGAGAAGGTGAAGGCGCTGACGATGGAGAAAGAGCAGCTCCAGGAGCAGCTGCAGCAGCGCAGGCCGGTGTCTTGCACCTGCTGTGTCCTGTGAGGGCCTGGGGAGCGGCAAGACGGCGTGGAGCTCTCCACCCAAGATGCAGGGGTTTCCCATTTGAGCCTAAGGCTGACCAATAAAGCCCATGCGGGCCACTGAGACGTGGACAGGGGCTTCTTCAACATGGCACACGAGCAGGTGCCCATGTGGCTTCAACCCTGACAGACCCCAATCTGTTTAGCTAAGAAATTGGTCTCAGCCCTGTCTCCAAGCAAGCTTACTTTCAGAAAGAAGGTGTTCCCCTAAGGCTGAGTTCCAGAGCTCCCCTAGAGCTGAGCTGTAAGAGATTGTCCCTTTCCCTAAAACACTCATTTGGCCCAGGTTGAGGTCTGTGACTCCAGTTGGCTAGACAGTGCCAGAGATCGGTCGTCTCAGGAAAGGCCCTCGCAAATGGCATGGCATATTTGGTGACTGGTTACAGGGCAAGAGGCCACCATGCAGCCCCCACCCAATTTGCTGGAACTTGTGACTGTCAAAGCTCCATAATAAATTACATGCACCTGGGACAAGAATGGTTCTTTCTAGGAAACTTGGTCAGCTGGTCAGATGCTGCAGGGTCATTAGTCCCATGCCCAGCCCACCTCTGTCCAGGAGGCAGAGGACAGACATGTGAGGGCAGGAAGCCCAGCCCCTCAGGCTCCAGGCCAGCTCTGACTTAAAGACCAGGTGCCGTGGGGCAAAATGCTGTGCCTCTGTGCTTCAGTTCTTCATCTATAAGACAGTGACAATGGCTAGGGGCACAGGCATTTTTTCACCATCAGGGCAATGCCCTGTGTCTATGCCAGCTGTGGCACAGAGCAACACCTCACGCTAATGGTTTCAGTTCCTTTCCAAGACCCCTCTGGCCCAGTAAGGCCATTAGCTTAAAACAAACAAACAAAAACAAAAACAAAAACAAAAACAAAAAACAGAAAAACAGACCCCTCCGGCCACTGGAGGCTTCCTGCCTCTGGCCGTTTCTCCTGCTGTCTCCACTAGCCAAATCAGACTGTAAAGCCAGAGTCTGATCACATTCATGCCGTGCCTGCGCCCACAGCCCTCCAAATTCTCCACTTCAAGAGCAAAGCCCAAATGCTGGCCTACATGGTTCTCCACGACCTAGCCCACCTGACCTCAGTGTCTTCCGCCCCTGCGCAGGCCACTTCAGCCACACCTACCCTGTGCACTCCTGCCCCGAGGCCTCTGCACGAGAAAGCTGCCCGTTTCCTTTCCTCTCCACCTTCAAGTCCATGCTCAGTTTTCCCACTCACCCTATTTTAAAGCTACCACCCTCCCAGCACTGCCACTCCCCTGCTTGCTTCCATCCTTTTTCTCCATATATGAACTGCCACACTCTAACTTAACATTTGGTGTTTCTCCCTCTGAATACCTGCTCTGGGGCACAGGGAAGTTTGGGCATGGCTGGCATGTAGTAGTCACCCAACAAATACCTGCTGATGAGACAATTAAGAATACTCCTAAATTTGGAGTCTGAGCCACCAGAAAATTGCCAGACCTTGTTGAACAGGGCATTTCACAGGGCTGGTGTCCCATGGAACACACTTCAGTTGATCCCCTAAAACTGAGGCTCCTGGCCACATCCACAGATGAGAACTCTGGAACCCCAGCCCCTCCATTCAGCGCCAGGTGACATCTCCTGGGCCATCACAAGTGCTCTGAGACCTGCTTTTACCACTTAGCAAACAGCATGCAACCCCTGCCTCGGCTGCCATCCATGCTGGTTATGGGGACCAATGGGATGACAGGTGCCTGCATCATGGCAGGTTGGCAAACTGCTGCTCACCCACTGAGCTACCCCAAGGTCACCAAGGCTGCTCGAAAACTCTGCAAATGTGTTAAGAAGATGGAGGAGTGACATTTTCTGTGCACCTTCCATGGTCCAGGTGCCATGCTAAATGCTAGTCCAGGCATCACAATCCTCAGAAATGTTTTCTGGGGGAAAAACAGCAGATTTCTAGGAAGGAAGGGTGAAGTCAGGCTTCAGTCCTGCCGCTCGACTGCTAAGAACCAGCCCAGATCCCCCGGACTAAGGGAAGTTTACGGGAAGGCCACAGGAGGAATGTGGCTAGCTTTCTACCCCACCTCTGGGCCCTGGTCAGTAAACACTGGGCACAGGGTGCCCTCCTGTAAATCCAGCTTCAGCCCTATCCTATCTGCTATAGCCAGGGTGGCAGGGCTGCTTGCCAGCCCTGGAGACCATTTGCAATCTTTTTTCAGAAACCTTACATATATGGCCAGCATTTGACAGCTGATCAGCCAAAGTGATCTTAAAGGTAAGAGCAGGAACATGACTACTGGGAGGGTTTTCCACGCCACCCACACATCCAGCCATTGTGGGGAGCCATCATGTCACCAATGGGCATGTCTGACCCTCAGTCTGAGGAATGTTTAAAAACAAAAACAAAACACTACTGATCAGGTGCAATGGCTCATGCCTGTAATCCCCACACTTTGGGAGGCCGAGGTGGGAGGATCACTTGAGGCCAGGAGTTCAATTCCAGCCTGGTCAACATGGCAAGACCCTGTCTGCATAAAAAAAATTAATTAGGTGGGCATGGTCGGGTGCACCCAGCTACTTGGTGTAGTAGTCCCAGCTACTTGGGAGGCTGAGACAGGAGGATCTTGTGAGCCTAGGAGGTTGCGACTGCACTGAGCCGTGTTTGTGCTACTGCAATCCAACCTGGGCAACAGTGTGAGATACTGACTCAAAAAAATAAAATAAAATAAAATAAAATGAAGGCTATTTGCTGGGACCACCAGGTGGGAGAAGGGGTTAGAATTGTGCTCAATCAGCCACATTCAAAGCACCATAACAAGCAGTTCTGCTGCTGAAGAGTCCGGCCCATTGCTCCCTGGCTGTGTATATGGGGTACCCACATCCAGTGCCTGGCAGAGGAAAGGACCGCCTTCCTAAACCATGCTTATCCCTCCCCTTCTTCAGTCATGCAGTAGCATACTAAGCACCCGCACCTTTTCATCTCACTCTACAAGCTGAGAAGCTGTATTTGAAGCTTCATGAAAAATTCTGGTTCCTATGAAAACGAAATCCTCATTTCTTAGTTTTTAAACAAGCTCTCAGGTCGTCTGCAGACTTAAGGCTAAAGACACTGACTAACAAGTCAGATGACTGCACACAGGCACGCCCAGCACCATGCTTAAGACGCTTCCCCACCGGCCAGTGACATAAAGAGAGTGAGAAGCAAAGCGTGTCTCTTGTTCCGCATTATTTATTTCTTAAGTTAAGAATCACACATTGAGTCCAGCAAGAATACAGTGGCACACGGCTGTGCCTATCGTTAGCTCACATTAAGAAAATGACTTCATACTGCCCTTTCCACTGCGGTAACACCATCCTGGAAGAAAAAAACGTACCCTCGAGTCCAAGCTGTCTGTCTGTGAGAGGGTTTTAGAGGAAGCTTCCCCAAAAGATTCTTTGTTCTTTTCAAGTGACCCCTTGATGCAAGGAGTTGTTTCCCAGCCCCAGAAATAGCAAGCGCAGCCAGAGGCATGGGGATTTTAACATCATACTTCAGAGACAGACATCTTGGTGTTTCATGTGACACCAAACTGACCCTCTCTTTTGGATGATGAGGACCAGCCACAGTTGGCACTAAGAATCCCCCCAACTCAGGGCAGTATAGAGATTTTGTCTCTGGTTTCATAGCTTAATGGCAAGCAACACCCTTAGGTTCCCAGCACCAAGTGTTCGAATCCTAGCTAAAATCCTCTACCCATGCTCAGTAAGTCCAGGTGGCCCACTTTATAACGGTCTAGGCATCCAAGGGAAAGCGACAGGCAACACACTAGCATCTGCAATGACACGAGGTAGTTGAGAAACAGGTGACCAATGGGGCACTCTGCAGCCCCACCCACCATCGGTTCCCATCCCAATGTTCTGCTGCATCTCAAGAACTGCAAGGAGAATGTCACAAAACAGGCAGACAGCACGGAGGAGCCAGTACACATGATGGGACATGCAAGTGACAAGTTTCCCAAATACCTTTCCCCATAATAAAATAATCTTAATAAAAACATAATTTAAAGAAAGTGTCGAAAGCCAAGTGTAACGTCAGAGCTGTAAACCTGACCCAAGTTTGAAGGGTCTCTTGAAGTATCATCCCTGTTTTGAAAGAAAAAAAAAATGAATTACATGATGTATATTAAAGTAGAAAAGTTAGAATTTCTAATCAGCTGCCATGGGAAACTAAGCCTGTTTTTCATGGCAGAACAACAGAAGGAGCTTAATATGAATAATTAGAAGCTAAATTTATAATTCCTACACAATCAGACATTTTCAAGACCTCACACATCGACTTCTACATCCACCCCTATGCAAGCAATCCTTCTCCACAGCACCCAGCCTCTTAACAGTGCCACTAACAGACAATTCTCCACTTGCAGTCAGAAATTCCATATGACTAACCAAATTATCTACCTCCTTCACTAGATAACATTTCTTTTTATATCAGTTCCTTACACTGTGAAACAGCCTATAGCAAACTCCCTGGTCAGGGATTAATGTGTCCATCTGTGTTAAATGCTTACCTAGCACACAGGCCCTCTTCCTGATACTAACTTCTCATGCCTACCCACCAACTGCTTATACTTAGGCTATCACAGGACCAGGGGGCCAACCAACCAAGGCAGGAAGGGAAACAGCTGTGATCAGCAGGTCAGACCAGCACTGGCCCAGCTCCAGAGGCCCACTGGTGATTAATACATGGTGTGCAGCATTCAGGAGCTCCCCTTGCCCAGGCCTCAGGGCAGGAGCAGTGGGACCACATCCACACCCCTGGTTCTCCTTCCAGACCCCAGATTTCTGACGGACACCCCCCCCCCATTTGATACCTCACCAGCAGAATGTGTACTTCTGCCAACACAATCCATGCACTTATCTTTTCTTTCTTTTGAGATGGAGTCTCATCACCCAGGCTGGAGTGCAGTGGCGCAATCTCAGCTCACTGCAACCTCCACCTCCCAGGTTCAAGTGATTCTCCTGGCTCAGCCACCTGAGTAGCTGGGATTACAGGCATGTGCCGCCACACGGCTAATTTTTGTAGAGACGGAGTTTTACCATGTTAGCCAAGATGGTCTTGATCTCCTGATCTCGTGATCCGCCTGCCTCAGCCTCCCAAAGTGCTGGGATTACAGGCATGAGCCACTGTGTCCAGCCCAAGGCAGTTATCTTAAAGGATATTTACGATTCGCAGCAGTGCCCACAGTTATTGCACTTTATGAACCTCAAACCCTGTCACTAAAGACAAACATTCGATGTCTGTTTGACAATTGTTCTGATGTAGAAGGAATTCCAGAATAAGCAGCAATCAACAGAAACTGTTCTCTAAGCAGTGTCAGCTTTAAAGTACTTCCTGATGAAAACCTGAGGCTCTGCAGAAATGACAAATGCCATTGTCATACCTGTCCCTTGCTTCAAGATCTCCAAATTTATAGCTACATCAAACAGTAGGGTGACCCCCCAGAACTGGTCAGATTGGCACCAGAAT